TAAAATTATCGCTTTGTCATCATCTACAATCTTTGACCCTGTCGCCGCTAATTCGGTCATTATCTTGTTATAGTTGCTCAGATACTCCAACATTCACATATCTTTCTGTTGGGTATCTACTCAAACTCCAAGTTGGGATAGAGTTTTTAATTCTTTGTATAACTTCATGAGAATTAGATAAGGTTAGAGATCTATCATGATTAGGAGTTTGGGTTCCATCATGATTGGGAGTTTGAATCTTATTCTAATTAGGAAGTTAGACTAGAGATAGGGTTTTGGATTCTCTATATATATCCTTCTATTGTTAGAGGGAAAAAAAGAGAAGAAAAAAGAAGTGTAGAGAGAGAGAGAGGGAGGGAGGGTTTGGCAGTCTTTATCCGTGCAAAAGATTATAATTTGGAGGTGATAGTGGATTGATTTTGATCCCGTAGTTTTTCCCTATTGAGGATTTTCCACGTTAAATCTTGTGTGATTTTATTTGCTGTGTTTGGTGAGTTTTTTGGGGGTTTTTACGAGATCTAAAAATCCCTACAAGTGGTATCAGAGCGGGGTTCGACGGTTCGTGGAGATTCGAGATTTGCAACGACATTGGTGGCAACGACTGTAGCAACAGCACTGTTCACCAAGGTACTGTAGTAGAGGAACTGTTCACGGTGATGCACTGTTCACAGTACTGTAGCGGTGGTACTGTAACGATGACAGATCCGACGGTTGAGGTTGATTTGTCTTTTGATCGAGAATTTGGAGGCGGATTTTGGTGATCCAGGAGTCGTTCCTAGGGTTTTTCGACGTATTGGGTTCGTTTTTTATGTCGGTCTTATCAAATTCAATCTCTATAGGGACTGATTTGAATTTTTATCGTGATTAGAGGATAATGACTTCTTCGGGTCCAAAGTTTGATATTCCGATATTCAATGGTAAGACAAATTTTGTAGTATGGCAGTGCACGGTTCAAGATATTCTTATGTAGCATGGTGTTGATCGAGCTTTGGAGGAGAAGAAACCTGAAGGATTGAAGAATGCTGAATGGAGTTCCATGCAAAAGAGGGCGGTTAGCACAATTCGTTTGGCACTCGCCCCCGAGATCAAGTACAATGTTATGCAAGAGACCACACCAAGGGGGCTGTGGGAAAGACTCGAGGGGATTTATGCGTCGAAGTCGATGACCAACCGATTGTGTTTGAGGATGGAGCTTTATTCGTTGAAGATGGAAGAAGGTACTGCAATTCAAGACCACATCAATGCTTTTAATCAGCTAATTTGCCAACTTATGAATATTGATGAGGAGATTAAAGAAGAAGAGCAGGCGCTACTCCTATTGTCTTCCTTGCTGAAGTCGTACAAGTCGTTAGTTCAGACGATAATTATAAGGAAGCAGACTTTGAAGTTCGACAATGTGATAGCATTCCTATGTGAGAATGAAAGAATGATGGGAAAGGAGAGCACATCTAATGGTGGTGAGAGTGCACTAGCTTTTGAAGGTTCTAATCTAGGGAGGAGTACGGGGAGATGTGACAGTTATCGAGGAAGGTCAAAATCTCGGACCCGAGATGACAGCGAAAAGGAGTGCTATTATTACAGAGAGAATGGTCACATTCAGTTCAGATGTTCTCAGATGTGTGATAATTTGAAGAGTATTAGACAGATGAAGCTTCAAGAAAATGGGAAGAAGACGGACTCCTCAGTGGTTGTGTGCGATGAAAATGTGGTTTTATTGATGTAGAGTACAAGTACTGATGCGAGTAACACTTAGGTGTTAGATTCTGTAGCCTCTATGCATGTTTGCAACAACAAAAATTATTTTAACACATTGAAGACAGATGAAGAATTTGACGACGTGATTGTTGGAAACAACGAGAAGATGAAGGTTGAAGGTGTTGGAAGTGTTCGCCTTAAGCTTCACACTGGGAAGGTCGGAATTCTTTATCATATGAGATATGTGCCGACATGTGGTGTTAATTTAATTTTGCTAGGTGAGATGGTATCACATGGGTACAAGTATATATGTAGGTGAAGGAGAGTGGTGCAATGTGTATAGAGATGGTGATTTGATTTTGCGAGGGAGGAAGAATAGCAATCATATTTTCTATTTAGATGGGCGATCCGTTAATGGTGCAGATTACTCTTCTCATACTCTTGTCCACAAGGGAGAGGTGAAGAACAAGAAAAAGAGAGTGAGTTTTTCTGAAGTCGTTGAGACACTTGGAGATTTTTCGTCGAGGGAGGATATGTTGGGTATCAACTCAAACTCCAAGTTAGTATAGTGTTTTTAATTCTTTGTATAACTTCATGAGAATTAGATAAGGTTAGAGATCTATCATGATTAGGAGTTTGGGTTCCATCATAATTTGGAGTTTGAATCTTATTCTAATTAGGAAGTTGGACTAGAGATAGGGTTTTGCTTTCTCTATATATATCTTTCTATTGTTAGAGAAAAAAAAGAGAGAAGAAAAAAGAAGTGTAGAGAGAGAGGGTTTGGCAGTCTTTATCCGTGCAAAAGATTGTAATTTGGAGGTGATAGTGGATTGATTTTGATCCCGTGGTTTTTTTCCTGTTAAGGGTTTTCCACGTTAAATCTTGTGTGATTTTATTTACTGCGTTTGGTGGGTTTTTGAGGGGTTTTTATGAGATCTAAAAATCCCTACACTTCCTTCATCCACAGTCCATTCAATTGTTCCAATACAAGTCGGTGGGTGCATTCTTGATCATGTACAGCTGATCGCATTTCTTTCACATACAGAGTGCAGTCGTCTCCTCGATTACATGATACCCTACTTCATAAGAGAGAGCAAGTAAAACCGTACTTCATGCCTTCCGATCCATCATATTCCACTCGTCACTTCTCAAGCTCTCAGACTGCTTGTCCACTCCTAGCAAAGCTTGATCTAGGTCATGTTGGATCAAGACTGTCTTCATCCTTTTCTGCCAAAGTCTAAAATCCCTCTCGCCATTGAACTTTTCAATCTCGATCTTCATCACTGAAGGACTTTTTAATTTCATGACACAAAGATTAAACATTTCCTCAAAGACAAGTATGATCTAATCAAAATTCATCTCTGATACTAATTATTTTCTCTGATACTAATTATTGGCATCACCTGACACTCTGATACAAATGTTGGCACACACAACCCGCAACTTGACGCTGATCTTTGCACACCGATAGGAGATCTGTGTGAAGCGTAGCCTGTGGAAGAGTCACCGAACACCTTGATTAGGTCTCATCCCTTCTTTGTAAACCAAACAAATCACAAGGTGAGGTGGAAATATTGAGAAAATACTAGTTTGAAAAAAAGATTAAAGCAATTACCGCAGAATAAATAGATCAAGAGATATAGACACATAATTTATGTAGCTCGTAATCGCCTACATCCACAGGAAGAGGATCGAGTCTTCTTTTATGCTACAGAGTACAAGATAATCTATTTTTGTGATTTAAGATAAATCCCGCAAGAAACTCTCTCTCAATCTTACAAAAAAGATCTCTCACAAACCCTAATTTTCTCCCCTTAGTTCTCTCAAATTCTCTCTTACAATATGCAACTCTCATTGGCTTTTCTATGACTTAATCTACAATAAACTTCTCAAGGAAATTTTAAAGAGCTTTCTCCTCTCTTGAATTCAAGCAGGACTAGTTCTTGGACTTAGATTATTAATTCTAATTCTTTTATAATTAAAATTTAATTCCAATTGTAATTGATTCTTTCCAAGCAAATTCAATTCCTAATCTAAGTCCAACTAGAATTTTCTAAAATACAATGCTATTTAATAACATTTTGCGGGTACCAAAGTGCAAATAACCATGATTAAAATTTGACAGCTGTGGAAATATTTGGTAACACCAATGAAAACCCAAAAGGAAGAACAATACAAGAATATAACTCCCAAAAAGAAAAGTAGAAGAATATAACTATCAATCAAAAAGAAAAACTTGTGAAGAATAAAAAGTTAAGAACAATCCACACTTTGCGGAATGGAATAAAAATGCAATCTCCAAAGGTCTGCAGTTTTTACAAGAAGAGGACCTTCTTTTGCTCCTTTGACAAGAATAGCACCTACTTCCTCTTTCTCCCTAGTCCCATTAGAAATTAGCCTTTGTTAGTTATGATTGTCCTATATTTTAAGCCAACACATAAACAAATAACTGGAATAAGGACAAAAGCATACAATTTTTTGATGATTTAAATGGTTTGGGAAAAACTTATTCAAGCACCTATTTTGTAAATCTATTTGGATTCAGTCCATTTGAGGAATACGTAGTATAGTTTGAATGCTAAAAGAATTGGGGAAAAAAATAAGATTTTTTTAGACAAACCACTTTTAAAATAGGTTAAGAAAAACCACCCTCAAAGTTCAATTAATATAGAAAACCACCTTTTAAGCGGGTCTCAATTGCAATCTTCACTTTGACCTATAAAGGGTTTTTGTTAACAAGTCCTCCTAGGCACTCACTAGACACTAGTAAAGGGTTTTGGCTAACAGAAATATTCTTTGGACAAGGGCCCTATTTCAGACAAACGTATAAATAAGGAGCTTATGCAATTTTCCCATGGACAAGTACAGTTACCCAAAGGGTATACAAAGAGGTCAAATCTCACCTCCTCCTTTATCTCCTCTTCTCTATTAATTAATTAACCCGAAGCTCATAGAAAACTCAGCCCCTCTTATCTGGTCACCTTCTTTCTCTGGATCAGATCAACTTTGATCCCGAACCCACGGAGCTTGATATATCTTTCCTCTGCCTCTATTTTATTATGTTCAAGCACTACCCACTACATAATCCCATACACGGTATATGCAAAGATTTTTTGTGGTGGTAATTAAATCGTGAGTAGGATATTAGCTGTCCTGACTCTCAAATCTCTCTCTTCGCTTCTCTCCCACGGTTCTTTCCTTTTCAAATCCCCCCGTCGAATAGAGTTGAAGCACCCCACATCACATGTGAGAGCAACCGACAACCCCATTTCCCCATTTACCCATCTCAGTAATTATGTTGGGTTTTTTGGAAGGCAGGGGAGAGATGGGGGTGCTAAGTACTTTGCTGGGTTTCTGTGGATTTGGGGTTGGAGTTTGGGGTGGAGTTGTTGTCGGCTACTATCTCTTCATCTATTTTCAGCCCGCCGATGTTAAGGTAAGATTTTGGGGGGGGGGGGGAGAGATGGGGGTGCTAAGTACTTTGCTGGGTTTCTGTGGATTTGGGGTTGGAGTTTGGGGTGGAGTTGTTGTCGGCTACTATCTCTTCATCTATTTTCAGCCCGCCGATGTTAAGGTAAGATTTTGGTTACTCTTTGCTCAGTAATTTTTGTTTGATTTTAGTGTCGCAGATTTTTTTTTCTATTGTGGAAGCACCTTGACCTGCTTTTCTTGAAGGAAAAAAAAAATGGTGTTGGGTGTTTGTTTTGCGGGATCTGTGCTTGCTAAAGGAAATGGGTATACGTTGGTTTTTAGTTTCTGGGGGAAGGATGGGGGGATTTGCGTTTTAATAGGAGAGGAAGAAAGCGGGTCTTGTTTTTGTTTCTTAATTGCGAAGGAATTGATAGAAAAGAGACAAACATGTGGAGCTCCTGGATATGCAACTAATGCAATTCTTTTTCTTCATTACAATTAGATTGGGGAATTGTCATGATATGGAAACAAAATATGTTGATATTGGTGCCTTGGGTACCATTTGCAGAGAGACTATGTTGATGTAGGCCGACTAGTGATTCATGACATTTCTGGCTTCTGAGTAGTCTCAGGGTTAGCAGACAGGATTAGGCAATATACAAACTGTGGAAATTCATGGCATGAATAGTTTTAACCTATGGCATATTCTATGGCAAGGATAAGTTGTTGAATACCCATCTGTAAGGACTGAATACTGGGTAACTACAATTTTGCTATCCAACAAGCCTAGTTAACATAGCTGGAACAACGCGTGCGATTTGACTAAGACGCAAATCGAGAAATGCAGATGGACTGGTTACATTGTATCTAATGGACGATGAAAATCCAAGTTAATGAAAATCCAAGTTAATAATGGCTAATAGAAAAGTGAAACCCATTCAGATCTCTGGGTCTTTTCTATGCTCCTTCTATGAGTCGTTTCCAACACCTTCTTATTGGACGGTTTAGGCGTTCATAATGAACTTGTATCGAGATTGCTACTTTCAAGTGGTCATGGTAGAGTTATTACAATGAATTTGACGCGTTCTTAATGAAAGAAAGGACTGTTAGGCGTTGTTGGCTACTTTACTATCACAAATTCAATGAGTTACAAAATTGGATTAATGTAATCTTTTCGAAATAGCTTGTAATATGCTTTCAGTTTGGATCATGATATCATTCCTGTGCTAAGCAATGAGTACAATTTGCTACTTGGCAAATCAAGCACTAGCTACTGACATATTGGTTAGGACAGGGGCAGATCTTGAAGAAGTGACGACTAGGGGAAACCGCAAGAATAAATAAAGGTAGTTAAATACCCTATACTGTACCTACGTTGCCCATGTATACTCTAGTTGTATTTGGTTGCACTTAAATACCTTAAAGTTTCTACCTTCGGTTATGCACTGAGAATCCCCCTCCCATCGAAATTCTCATGCAACACTCACATGCTAATTTTAGAACATTTTAACCCTTAATTTTTGTTAAACTTATAAATCTCATTTTAATTAGAATTAGGGTAGGTTTAAACAGGATTTTGATAACATAGATTTATAAAAAAAAAAGCTTTAATATGTCGAAGATTAGCATGTGAGTATCACATGAGAATTTTCGGGGGAATTCTCATGTTTGCATAGCCGAGGATACTAAAGTGCAAATTTTAAAAATTTTAGGGTATTTACGTGCAACCAAATACAACTGGGGATATATGTGTGTGTGTATAAAGTAGTGAGGCTATAGGTTATTTTATTGCAATTAAGCCATAAATAAATGATGACTAAATATTAAAGGATTTTGTTTTGGAGTTGTGAACTTGTGGTCTAAGGTTGGATATGCGAATGACATGCAAATTGAAAGGCTAAGATTGATAGTGGGGGATATATATCGTCTAACTCCTATTAAGTCACTTTGTTTAGGAGATTTGTAACTGATATTTTGTAAAAAATTTTCTGGGCAGTGGTGTCAAACTGCCTCCACTGCCCTCCCATTGTGGATCAGTCATGAACAGGGAGCGAAAGGGCGGAGCAGGTACTTGAGGGTTGGCAGTGCACAAGCCCTACCTTAAATTTGATTGTAATGCCTATTTTGGTACATTTGCATTAATTTCCTTAAACTAGTAATTCATACATTTGAATCAATCAATCTACCTATAAAATATATCCATTACATTTGTGACTTTTAACACCTAGGATTTGTACATTTTGCATACATAACTTGGAATGATCCATTTAATTATTTCGTTCACAATATTAATGGAATCAATGCTGGAATGACAACACTCTCTGCCACAGGAGTGGAGTGAAAAAATACATTCCATTGCTTTTTAAAATATGTTTTTGGGTATAATTTTCAGGGCACTCATTAGTGCGCGTGTGCCTGCGTTAACATCTCCCGCCTTCCAAGATTGCGCGTACGTTTAGGAGCCGAGTTGATCACCACAATTCTTAGGAATAAGAGGCCTTTGGGTTACTGGGTGAGTGCGTGCTTTATCGTGTTCGATTCCTTCTGAGGAGAAAATAGTAAAAAATATAAGCCAGTCTTAATGCAAAATTTTGATGGGGAGGGGGCGGGGGGAGACCGGCAGAAAAGCAGGCGGTCGGACGGGGTCGGGGGGGAGGCGGAGGAGGGGGTCGGGATGTTTATTATAAATCCATTACATGGTCATATACTGAAATGAATATTGCATGCCTATTAGTATTTGCATGTTAGATAGTTAGTGACTTCTATAAGAGAAGAATGGCACTAAACTGTGCTGCAAGGATTACAGTCCTTAGGGTGTACTGGTGTAGATGTAATACTGGTTATACACTACTGTAATAGAAGAAGCATTCGAGCACACATTCTATGTGAAGTTTGAATTTACAATGAGATGACAAATTATCCTCAACTATGTAATTCTAGACCTTCAACAAGAATCAGCAGAAAGGGCTTACATTGTTGATTCTTGCAGTTGGAAGATAGCTTAACGTTTGTGGTTGACAGATATTAGTTTGATTGGCTAACACTGATGGCACTTTTTTGTTTGTTCTCCTTGAAGGTTGATTGGCTGGACGAGTTTATTCCATTGTAATTAAATGTGAAAACATCAATGTTCTTCATAGACATATTAGCTTATATTAAAAAAACCATAAATGTTGGTGTTTCTTTTGTTTTCTTGTTGATTATAATGATTTGTTATTGTTATTCCATTGTTTTCTTACCAGCATCCTACAGTTCGACCACTTGTTGAACTTGATTCAAAAACTCTGGAGCAGATGCTTCCTGAGATTCCCTTATGGGTGAAAAATCCAGACTTTGATCGGGTAAAAAAAAATTCTGCCAGAATAGTTTAAATGTCTATGGTTTATCGTTACTGATTATTTATTATTACCTGTAAAACTGATGACACTTTTTTGTTTGTTTCTCCTTGAAGATTGATTGGCTAAACAAGTTTATTGAATATATGTGGCCTTATTTGGACAAGGTATGTAGGTTATTGAAAGGTTTTGCACTATTTTAACAGGTGGTTCCTTCTATTCCTTTATTTTATATCTTCCTCCTTTTCCAGGCAATCTGCAAGACAGCTAGGGAAGTAACAAAGCCAATTATCGCTGAGAATTGTGCCAAGTATAAAATTGAATCCATTGAATTTCACACTTTAACCCTCGGTTCACTTCCACCGACTTTCCAAGGTCTTCTCTCTCCCCTCGCCCCTCTCCCTCTCTCTCCCTCCCTCCCTCCCTCACGCACGCACGTGAAGCACATAAATTCACACACACACTTCCATAATCAGTGAAATGCTTCACATTTAAAAAAAACACAACCACTGTTGTTCAAAATGATCTTTTAAATAAACATTATTTTTAATCAATTGAATGCCTAGGCCTAGATGCAGTACTTGGAAACAGAAAGGATATCTTACTGAATTTATGAGATAACATATCACGGAGCGAGAAAATTTTATCTCTAACCTCCAGTAAGTTTACAGACGCTGACTATGGTTTTTGTTCCACATGACTCGTTCCCATGAATACTGCTTGCATCCTACTGGGATGTAATGATACTCCCCAAATTCATCATCTTCCTATGCTGTGTCTTGACACCCTACTAAAACAAACAAATGAGAAGAATCAATACATGCTTATGGAAACACCTAGTTAAATTAAATGACTGCATTTTCGTTCTTCTGCATATATGGGTTTTGGTGCACTCTCGACTCAGAGTGCTACAATGTCTCCTCAGCAGCAAACATTCCTTCTCGAGTTTTAAATGCTTCTTAGAATCAGTTATCATTGTGTGCGATTTAATGCTTAATTTGCTTCCATTAGGATGCTCAGAAAGGAAATAAAGAGCAATAGGTACATGTAGTTTTTCTACCTTTGACTGAGGAGACACCTTTAAGTCCCTGTTTATAATTTAGTGGCATATGTTTCTTTATACCATGTTGTGTATAGTTGTAACTGTAAACGTGAGCAGCATTTATTAGTGGGGGCCACAAGTACGTGAACAACTTCACGTGTACACACCCATGTCTAGAGGTCAGGCGAAGTGGCCCAAGTGCGGCCCAAATGTGCATACTATATAAATCCTGGGATTTTCTCTTCCTAGGTCCGTGCGAGGAGGTTTTGGCGGCTACACGTGCAATTGTGAGGGTGCAGGAGATTTGTTAGGCGGCTGTAGCAAAGAAGGAACAGAGTCGGCTTTCTTTCTGTTTTGTTTCTTTGTGTTTGAGTAGCCCTTCTCTAGGGTTTTGTGCATCCTTTTGTAGAGAGAGTTTGTGAGGGATTTGAGAGAGTTTATTTGAGGGTTTAGATTGTGAGTGATTGTAAACCCTAGTTGTATTCTCTCCTTCTATTAGTAGATCTCCCCTCTTCTTGCCCCGTGGACGTAGGCAATTTGCCGAACCACGTAAAAATTGGTTATATTGTGTGATTTGTAATAGCTTTTAGGTTCCCTCGACGCGCAGTCGTAGAGCTGACGAGAGGAAGAGCTAATATCCCACTTTGATGAGATATTAGGCTTCAGATTCTTGTTCCCTTTGAGAAACAAGAATTCTTATTGCGACCTGACTCTCTTGTTGTGCTGTCGAAGTGTTGCCAAAATTTTCGTCGCGCGCAACAAGTGGTATCAGAGCCCAGATTTCAGATCTAGGGTTTTGGAGTTTGGTAGAGGAAGATTGTGAAGCTTAGTTCTTGGAGTTCTCGGCTTCGGTGGAGATAGCATTAGGAGTTGCCGTTGGAGATTTCGCTTTCCTCGTGTGGATAGGAGATCTATTTGGAATCCGATCTAGATGAATATGAACGCTTGTGGGGTGATCAGGTCCTGTTTGGAACAGGAACTGAAATATGATGTGATTGGGGTGACGTCTGCAATGAAGATGTGGGAAATTCTCAACAATAAGTATCTCACAAAGAGTGTTGAGAACAAGTTGTACTTGCTGCGAAGACTCTTCAGATTTCAGATGTCCAGAGGCACCTCACTAGCGGCTCATGTGAACAACTACACTAAGTTGTCGGACTTGGCGAATGTTGATGAGAAGATATCGGATGAGTACAAGGCGATTATTTTGTTAGGCTCCTTATCGGATGAGGAGTATGATACCTTCGTGTTCACTTTGTTAAACGGGAGATCTTCTATCAGCTATAGTGAAGTGACTAACGCATTGACCAATTACAATTTGAGGAGGAAGGACAAAGAGACTTTCCGTGCTAGCACTTCAGACGAGGCCTTATCGACGAGAGGTAGAAGCCCATATCCGAAAGGTGGTAATAGAGGAAGGTCAAAGTCAAGAAACCGCCACCAATTAGCAAAGAACCTATGTGCATTCTGCAAAGAGCAGGGACATTGGAAGAGAGACTGTCCGAAGCTCAAGGAGAAAGAGAATGGCAAGAAAAAGGGCCCGAAGGCCAATGAGGTGAATATTACGAAAGGCGATGATTCCGATGATTCGTGTTTTTCTCTACTGATTACTCCGGAGGTGAACCATGTGGATGGATCAGATTGGATGCTTGATTCCGACGTTACTTTTCATGTAACCCCTAAGCGAGACTGGTTTGCATCTTTTGAGAAAGTCGACGGGGGTGTTGTTGTCATGGGAAATGATTAATCCTGTGGCATTTGTGGGATAGGTACCGTGCGGGTTAGGATGCACGATGGAGTAATCCGTGAGTTGAAGGAGGTGAGATTTGTTCCCCAATTGAAGAAAAATCTTATCTCGGTTGGAGCTTTGGAGGCGAAAGGATTCAAGGTGACTTTCGAAAACGCTGTGGCGAAAGTTACTAAGAGATCATTGGTGGTGATGAAGGGAGTCCGCAATCGAAATTTGTATTATCTGAAGGGAAGCACCGAGATTGGCCAGGTTGCTTCAGCTATTTCAGAAGCGGACATGAGCAGACTTTGACACTATAGGTTGGGGCACACAGGTGAAAAGTCACTACAGACATTGTGCAAGCAGGGGCTATTGAAGGGAGCCAAGAGTAAAAAGATTGAGTTCTGTGAGCACTGTGTTCTTGGCAAGAAGACGAAAGTGAAGTTCGGAACTGTCATTCATCAGACGAGGGGCATTCTGGACTACGTGCACACAGACGTTTGGGGTCCCACCAAGACTGCATCACTTGGTGGTCGACATTGGTTCGTCACTTTTGTAGATGACTATTCTAGGCGTTGGGTGTACACCATAACGAAGAAGAGTGAAGTCCTAGATTTGTTTGTGGAGTGGAAGAAGAGATTGGAACTGCAGACGGGGAGAAAGATCAATACGTTGTGATCCGACAACGGTGGTGAGTATACTTCTGACCACTTTCAGCAGCTATGTCGAGATGAGGGCATAGAGAGACACTTCACGATTAGTCATACACCGCAGCAAAATGGGGTGGCAGAGAGATTAAATCGGTCTTTACTGGAGAAGATTCGATGCTTATTGTCACAAAGTGGTTTGGAGAAGATCTTTTGGGCTGAGGCACTTACATATGCGAGCCACCTCATTAATACGCTGCCTTCATCTGCGATTGAGGGGAAAACCCCTATGGAGATGTGGTCAGGAAAACCAGCACATGACTATGACCAGCTCAAGGTATTTGGGTGCCCTGCATATTATCATGTTAGAACTGATAAATTGGAACCTCGAGCTAGGAAGGCCATATTTGTAGGATTCAAGCGTGGTGTCAAGGGATACAAGCTTTGGGATCCAGTTGATAAGAAGCTTGTGCTGAGTAGGGACGTCACGTTTGATGAGGCTTCTATCTTGAAGCTTCCCAGCTCTCATCAGGTGAAGAGCGACCCGACGGAGGAGATAACGCAGGTGGTGGAGATCGATGCAGCTCCACATTGTCCAGATGGTACAGTATCCATGCAGGTGCCAACTGAGGTGACGCCAGGCGAGCACGACGGTGACACGGAGGATACGAGTACAAATATGCAGGATCAGGAACCGACGGCTCAGGTTCAGGATTCTATTGCGGTTCGGAGACAGAAGAGAAACATACAGATGCCAGCACGGTATGCCGATACAGTTGCGTATGCACTTCCGGTGGAGAGTATCGATGAGATGGTGCCTACTACATTCAGAGAGGCCGAGCAGAGTTCGGAGGCTGATTCGTGACAGGTGGCTATGAAGGAGGAGATGGAATATCTTCATAAGAACGATACATGGGAGTTGGTTGAGCTTCCAAAGGGGCGGAAGGCGATTGGTTGTAAGTGGGTATACACAAAGAAGGAGGGCATTGATGGCACTCTATTGAGGTTCAAAGCTAGGTTGGTTGCGAAGGGTTATGCACAGGAGGAAGGTATTGATTATAATGAGGTTTTCTCTCCGGTGATGAAACACTCTTCGATTCGGATTCTGCTAGCTTTGGTGGCACAATATGGATTGGAGTTAGATCAGTTGGATGTGAAGACGGCATTTCTTCATGGTGATCTTGATGAAGAAATATATATGACTCAGTCATTGGGATTCTGAGCTGCAGGGAAGGAAAAATTAGTTTGCAGATTGAAGAAATCGCTATACGGTTTGAAACAGTCTCCTCAACAGTGGTATAGACGATTTGATGGTTTTATGATTGGTCATTCGTACACTCGGAGCCAGTTTGATCCTTGCGTATATTTTCACAAGTTGAAAGGAGGTGCGTACATTTATTTGTTGCTCTATGTCGATGACATGTTAGTTGTCTCTACTTCCAGGTCGGCTATAGATGAGTTGAAAGTTCAGCTTTCAAATGAGTTTGAGATGAAGGACTTGGGTGAGGCGAAGCGCATTCTAGGGATAGATATCGGCAGAGACAAGAAGGACAGAAATTGTTTGACACAGGTGGCTTATTTGAAGAAGGTTCTACAACGATTCTATGTTAGCATGGATACGAAGCCAGTTAGTGTACCATTGGGAGCTCATTTGAAGCTTTCAGCTGGTCTTTCACCGAAGACAGTTGAAGATCGAGAGTTGATGTCGAAGACTCCATATACGAGTGCAGTTGGGAGTTTGATGTACGCGATGGTATGTACGAGACCAGACTTGTCACAGGCGGTAAGCATGGTATCGAGATACATGCACGATCCAGGAGTGGGTCATTGGGACGCCGTAAAATGGATTTTGAGGTACATTCGAGGTACGCTCAATGTTGGTTTAGTTTATGAGCGGGACACTAAAGGTGGGCAACTATGCATTGGTTATGTTGATTCGGATTATGCCGGGGATTTG